GACCAATAACAGTATCGTTTCGCAGCTGGTACAACACAGTGGCTCGATAGGCAGGAATCGTTTCGCGATATCGCCCGCAACGGATAGGCGAGTTAGACGTAGTCGTTCTCGTTAAAAGCATCCCTTTGTTAAAAGCCACCGTCCTGAACGAAATAACAGCCGAACAAGCACTGCCACCGATATTTCTCTCTCTCTCTCTCTCTTTTTTGTACAATATGTAATCTTTTTCCAGGGACCAAATTGTTAGAGGGTTTTCCGCCTCGATCCACGCGTTGTGCTCGTGCTGCGCCGCGTTTTACGTCGGAACGAAATTTTTTTCGCCACCCCCCCCCCCCCCCCCCCCCTCTACCCCGACGGGTGTGTCTTTTTCTCTCCTGGACGCTATTATAAACGCACGCGTTATAAACGCGTCACGCACCGGTGAGACGCAATTACCGGCGGCGCAACGGTGATTTCGCGTGCATGGTAGACTCGCATGCGAGATAAACGGCGTGCAACCGCCGAGGACCGCGTATTAAGCTAAATGATCGAAGCTCGTGCCTTTCGTCATGCCTTTCGCTTCGAAACTCTCTCATCGCCTCGCGAAATAAGCGCCGATAGCGGCGCTCAACGAGACAGAAATTCGTGATCCTTCTTAAGACCGTGCGAAGGTTAGGGGGAATTTTCTCGGGAAGCGCACCGGTATATCTTCGTCGCAGTTGATTTTCGACTTTTCCCTCGATTGCACCGCGCAAAGCGACGGTTTCGTTCGGTTAACCGAACAGCGACGGCAACGACGTTAACGACGAAATGGCTCGTATACACACGCGGAACGGGACCGTCGCGAATAATGCAAGGAAAATACGCCCGGTGCGCGAACAAGACAGTAAGATAAAGGTCGCGGATTTCACGGAGACGGTCGAGAGATGGGGCCAGATTACGTCACTTGAAGATAGAGATAATATTTCCGCGAGCCCGGTAACTCTCTCAGAGTAAAATGCAGCTTAAAAATATATTTTAGATGAAATGTAGGCGGAATAATTTTAAACATTCTCGGTGTTTGTTTTGAAATAATCTTACACTGAAAGAAAGAGAGGGAGAGGAGATAGAGAGAGAGAGAGAGAGAGAGAGAGAGATATGCTACATTCAATTAAATATTCGCTGAGGAATATCGCGGAGGAGCAACTGTTTTACTTGGATTAAATAAATATTACTTGAATGTAGCACTTTTTCCTCTTTTAGTGTACATATTTTACCTTCCTACGAAACCATAATCAATATATCTTCTTAAAAGACATCTTTATGGACCATCATTTATTTAGATATTATTTTAATAATTCTTTCGACAGTTGTTGACAAGTGTTGTTTTTTTTTCTTTTAAATGCTACAGCTGTAATCCGGCCGTTCATTTTAACCAATATGTTCACCGGATGTTGCAGATCCGCGAACTAGTCGCTTACCGTTAACGGTTGATCGTTCCGATAACCACGGAATTGCTAGCGTAATACTTTCCCGCAAGAAATCAAGTACAAGCATGCGAAGTATGACTCCCAGGCATTTCCTCCTCGTGTGTTAATGACCGACTCTTTCCTTGAATCATTACAACCGTCCTCTTGTGGGAGCGACGAACGCGGCATTCTAACTATATCTTGAATTAAAACGAAAGTTTCGTCGCACGAATACCGGTGGAAGAGGGGGGGGGGGATAATTAAATATTTAAAATATATGATCTCTCTCTCTCTCTCTCTCTCTCTCTCTCTCTCAATAGAAGAAACGAAACTCTCGTGACTCGATATTCTTAATTATAATGCTTTCAGTGACCCATGCGTTCCCTCTCAAAATTGAAGTAATTTTTCCGTGAAATTCCTCGCGAGAATACGACGCGCGACTTGTCGGCTGAAAAGCGTTTTGCTTTCGCGAGAACGAATCATACGTAATTTACGAGTCGTCCAATCGAGTACCGGTGCTCCCATTCTTTCACAGCGTTGATGACCACCGACGTCGACTCTTGCGCGTCGAATTAAAACTTTCCGCTCATAGACACAACAAGCGACCGCGATATGAACGTGGCGTTTCGATCCAGCTGCGCTCGCTGGAACTGAATGCGCGCGATGCACGTGCATGTATGCCGGCCGCATTAATAATACAGTTATGCAACGCGCCTCATGCATGGTTATTAGTGACTCGGACCTCGGTACGCTGTTATGAATCGGGCTCCGTAAACGTAACATCAACGTGTCCGTTGCAAGCGTGACTCGCATTTTTTGCAATTATTGAAAAAATCCTTCAATTCGGATTGATGTATAATAATTCACGTATCGCCACAAATGTACCTAATTCCTCTCGAATCAATCATTACCGGAGAAACCTCGGACTAATTTGAAGTTGTTTCTTTCTTAGAGAAGGATGGATAGATAAATACACTGAATCGCCCTAAGATATGTATAAAAACCCCTCGAACATACAGTGGACACATTTTAATATTTACAGATGGTTTTGCTAATGAAAATATATAAAATATCACTAAGATTTCGAAGTATTATAGATTAATGATTAAGGAAATATTATCTATTAATGTTGTATTTTTGTTGTAGCGCATCAAGGAGACTGTACTTTTAAATTTAGCATTTATCAAGCAAAATTACATTCCTGCACATTTATTTTGCTATCTGAGTAATAAATGTTAAATTGAAACGAAATTGAGGTAGACACATATATACACAATATTACACACACATATATACACAAATATGAAAATATTATTATTCTTTATTTTTCTTATTAATGTTATTTTGAGTTATGGGTGATACATCCTTAAAGATTAGATGCGTTATACAAATTCATACTTCCGTGGAAAAATAGCATGATATTAATAGATTGCTCAATTCAGATTGCTAATTATTTATACCAAGATAAGATAAAATCCAGTAATAGGAATAAGAATAGAAAAAGAGAGAGAGAGAAAGAGAGAGAGAGAGAGAGACTTTTCGTAATTTGCCAATTTCCAACGTTAAATATCTTCATAATTGACTGCCAAATTAAAATCCTCTCAAGATGAAAACTAATTAAAGTTGTAGAAAAAATTACATTTTCTCCTTTTCCGCTTTTAAAAGTTCTATTTGCGAAAAACCACCCTTCATTCTCGATCTCTCGTTTAATTTACAAGCCGTTATGTCAATATTTTAACTGCGAAGAAACCAAGGGAAGTACAACCACGTAACACTGGAAAAATTTCTGGAATATTTTAACCAGCGTACCAGAGCAGAGCGCGCTTTGCAGTATGCACATCAGTTATTCCGTGATACCGTGCAAAGTACTAACTGTCCAAATCGAGCACTACTTGACACACAACGCACTTTCGGTTTATCACAAAACCACATAAATCGCAAGTGCACTGTAGATACGCGAGATCATGGGGGATACTATCACCGCTACAACCACCGCTCGAACGAACCTCACAAACGCGAGAATTGATGTTCCACTTGACACATTGATTGCAGCATTACGCAGCTCGAAATTATTCATCGTATTACGCGAGAGACGCTGCTTTAATATTTCTTTACTCGGTTTTCGTCTCCTCGCAAAAACAGCCAAGAACTAACAGAAAAGAAATAGCAAATGTAGCCCGACTATTAGAGCACAGAGAGTCGGATGTTGCTATGAGACGTTCTCGGACAGGTTTCCGTTACCATTTCATAAGGACACGCGAAAGCTTCTGTGTTTCTTGTCTCGCATTTTATATCCCCGCTCTTTCCAACTCTAGTTTATCACAGGAATCACGAGGGTAAAGTGCAGAACGAAAAGTCTCACAACACCGGTCAGCTCAGCGTCGGGTCAAGCGTGATCCGGCACACGACACACCCCGCAACCGTGTTGGGACGCGCGATATTATCTTCGCCGCCGACGTACTATTAAAGAGCACCGTATAAAGTTTCGTGACCGCCGGTAAAGCCCGCGGACGAGCCCGAGGATAATTGAGGGGCCCCCGATATTACCAATTTCGTTTCGTCCGATTGTCCCGACCGGTATAAATATTTACTCGGTCTGCCTCGTAATGTTAATCCGCGCAGATGATACCACTACGGTAATGCAATTTCGCATAAACACGCTCGCAACGTGTACCGCGCCGCGAATGCACATTTATCCGCGGAACATCTGGACAACAATGAATTAATACTGCATTATGGGCTGACCGGCCAAATATCGGTAGTCACGCGAGCCCCCGTAAGGCCGTCGGCTCTTTAATAACATCCCGCTGGTGTCTTTACAGAGCGGCGGCCACTCAAAAGTCAAATATACCTACGCACGCAGGTAACGCACACGAGAGCTGAAAATAAAACGAAACTCGCAGTCAAAAAGCCGGACGCAATTTCGCGACGTTTGCTACGAAATTGCGAACGCACGAATGAGTCAGCGAGTGAATTCTAGAAGAAAGAAATAAAAGGTATACGTTGTGAGAAAAATGATCTCAAAAATTAAAAAAAATACTTATTTGGTGATGTATTAATAACACATTTATTTACATTAAAATTAAAACGGGGAAAGGAGAGTAAATCAATGATGTAGATAAGATGACGATTTGCTAATTTTTTTTTTCAAATTAATAACAAATAACGAATCAGTGCCCGATTTATTAGAGGGTTCTGACGATAACAAATAATCTGTTGTAGTTTGACTTCAATCTGTCGATGACAGTAAATAATATGATATGAAATGTAGTTTAGATATACTTATGTGTAATTTTATGCTATTCTTCGTTCATATTTTCTTCAAGTTACAATGTAACAAATCATATTTTTCGTTAATAAATAATATTTTTATCCGTTCTCTAAAATCCGTAGCTTTCCATGAAAGCAATGATTTATCTAAATGAAAAAAATTTAGATTTAAGTAAATATGTTATTAATACCCAGCAAATAGTGCGAAGTATTTTTTATTTTGTAGATATTTTTAGTTTACGAGAGTAAGAGACGCTCGCCGTATTGAAAGAACTGATATTTAATAAGGTTTCACGGTTACAGGCGAGGAAGTGGTGACGGTGCCGTCGAGCAGCGGCGGCCAAGAGGGCTGGAAGGTGCAGCGGCTGTCGGTGAGCAGCACCGAATCGCCGCAATCGAGCAATCGTCGCCGCGGCTGTCGGTCGCAGATCGTTTCCGGCGGCAAGAGGAACCGACCGGCGCCACCCCCGCCACCGATATCCTGCAGAGTCAATGCCAAGGACGTCGACAGATACTTCGACTGGCCGAATAAGGAGAACACGCCCGGGAATGCCGTGAACCGGCGCGAGGACGAGCAAGTCGCGCAGCAAGCCGCGAGCGAGGAGTCGACGATGGGCTCGAATTTGAGCAGGCACAACGGAAAGGGCCTCACCGGCCGGCGCACCCAGTCCTCCGGGAATCTCTGCGAACCCAAGGGCAAGCTCAACAGCATGGGGAAGATACTGGTGCCCTGCTCCAGCGCGCAGAGGGAGAGGTTGGTCGCCTTTAACGCGCGATCTTGCATTTTTCACCTCTTCATACCCGTCGAACCGTGTTTCCACCTTTAATTGAATGAAGAGAATTGCATTTCTATGGTATTAACCTGTTGCGCTCGCAAGCACCGCTTCACCCCATGTTCGCGCGCTGTTATTCGATATGTTTTCTTTTTTTTCCTCGGTTAACTCCGAAGCGCGCGATATCCGTGCGTGATTTTAAGCTCGATCCTCTTCGCGTTAACGCTTAATCAAGCGTTGGATAATCGTTGGATAATCTCTTCTGGTAACGCGGAAGTACTCACCGCGACGGGAGTTCCACGAAATTGTGGGTCGAGGCGCCGATTCATAAATACAAAATTGGATCGCGATCCAATGAAAACCGGAGCGAAGTTACACGCGGTGGACGCGAAGTCGACGGGATTAAGACGGCGTTTCGATTGCGCTTCTCATAGCGCGAGATTAGAGCCTCGTTGTAGCGTAGCCTCACGGCCGGTTAATTTTTCAACGGCACGAAAAGCGAGCGAAACGGAGAGAGCCGTGTTGCAACGCGCGCAGGGAAAGGTCAATTCACGATCGATCCCTCGTCCGAAGGCACCACAACGTCGATAGTTCGCTCTCGACGCCGATCTATCCGCATCGTATCCCCCGTGCTCTCACTCGCTCGCTCGCATTACGAGAAAAGGACGAATTGAAATTACCATCGGCCGTTTTCACTCCTTCCTTTCGAATTATTACCATAAATGTGTATTTGCACAATGCTCGTGTATAATAATACGCGACGAACAGGGAGGGTAATTCCCGGTTCGCGGAATTCTCAGTCATTCTCGGCAGCTGTTGGTGTGAACTGGTCTTTACTCACGATTCCCACGCGATGATAAGAAATTAAATCCCTTCACCTTTAGCTTTTTTGCCCGTAGCCTTTGTCCGTCACAAAAAAAAGATTGAGTTTACCACGCGTATCTTTCCGTGAAGAGGTCTCCCGGGAGTAAATTTGCTCACAGGCGTTCGCGATACCCTCCGGTCCCGTTTTCCCCTCCAAGAGTCTCCCGACGCTGTAACTTCAGTACACCGAGAGAAATTATAATTATTTTCGGCCTCGACTACAATCTTTTTAAGGTTTTAACCACAAAAATAGTAGTAACAATATGCATTACAACAAGATTATTATCACTGACACAACATTTAGTTACAAAAAAAATTATTCTCCTGCCGAGTCGAATTTTGATGTTACTTTGACGCTCTTAAAGATAATTTATGCCTACTTAGATGGCCAATAGATAAGTAAAAACCTACTTTGATGATACCGGCAATTTTTAACTTCTCTCTCGAACCTTTAATTTTACAGATTGAATTTTAATACTACTACTTTCAACAATCTACTTTGACGCTAAAACAGCGTAAATAGAAATTTAAAGTATCATTAGGTATCATCAGGATCAAAAAGTAGGAATTACATTATATTATTAGAATCGAAATTGAACCTATTTTGCTCTCTTAGCTGCTACTATGTTGTAGAATTAAAGGTTTAATACAAGGTCAAAATTTCGGCTCGGCAGCTAATTATAATTCTTTCACGATGATGATTATAATTACTGAATTTAATTTATAAGCAGCAAATATTTTTCTCTTAGTGAATACCCGTTATTTTTTTCCTAACATCGGTCAAGTATAGGCAGATTTTTAAAAGTAAAAAAAATTAAAAACATTATTCTTTACATTACGTTACAATATTCTTTCTCATTTCTTTATCAGATTTTTATTTCATTATGAAATAAAGTTAAAACATACTTTGCTTTCATTTTCAACGAGAACATTTCTTAACCTTCGGGCCTTTTCTCTCATCATGATCTATCGTCGAAGGGGTCGTAAAGGGCAAATTTCCTTTGTGGGTCGAAATGAAACCCGTGTAATTACCTCGGGGAATATCGTTGAGGGTCGTAATAAAAGGCTATACTCTGCTTTTTGAATTAACGCTGTTAATATTCACGAATATCACTGCTGTCCATTTTTGACTCGTACTTCGCGGCGATATTAATTCACGTAATGATTTTCCAACGCCCAGTGGAGTCGTTAGGGAAACCGCACGCGCCAATTAGCGGAATGAGCTCTTTGATAAAGTGAAACAGACAGAAGGAATGAAGAATTATGAGATATAGAGTCGGATTCCGCGCGAAATCGATTAAGATTGATCGCGATTGGCCGAACGATGTACGACGCTTTCTCGCGTGATCGTTTCCTCGATCATCCCATCGCGGATTAACAGTCGATATCCTCGTGTAAACCGCGAGAGCGCTTCTATATTTAGCGCCCCGACTGAGATTACACACACACACAAAGCGACGAAGCCCCAAACCGGAAGCGCGTGCTAATTAAATATAAAATGATGAGCTCCCGTCACTGGGAATATTTTAACGAGTCAGAGAGAGAGGGGGGGGGGGGGGGGGGGAAAAGGGGGGGAAAAACGTCAAAGGGNATCCCTCCTTGCATCGGCTCCGGAATCCTTCATCGATGTAGTCGAACGCGTTGTGGTCCGCTAAGCCGTTTAAGACGATTAGCCAATAACAAGGTTGCTGTGTAAACATGGGATATCCCTTTACTCACGTTCGACTAACCGGCAAGTCGTCGTGGCTGGCGAATGGTCGAGATCGTTAATCCGAAGGGGAATTACGTCCGACGGTATGATAACGGTGATAAATGACGGTGATAAATTGGCAGAAAATGAACCGGCCCGCGCGCAGGCGTCTCGTCGTATTACTAAATTAATAATTATTTGCATCTCTTTCTTCTCCCCCCCCCCCNTCTCTCGCATGTTTATCGTAATAATATCGGATTAGCGTAAGCCAAGACTGACTTACCGCGATCTTACCGTAACTAGCTGACCGCGCGTACCCCCATCGAGAACTATTAACGGATCCGTCCTGGGCAGAAGTCTTGTTAATTCAAGTTTAACGAGTTCTGCCAAGCCCTCTCGGCTATCTTTCGTGAAGTCGCCGTCGCGCGATACTTAATCCGGTATTCGCAGTGTATCTGTGTACACCTGATTAGAGAGAAAGCACTAAAGCCGACATACCATTTCCTTTTATGGCTCTAAAGTCTTGTGTAAAGTTAAAATTTACGTGCGCGAATACAAACCAACAATACTATCTCCCACTAAAATATATAACAGTTTTATAAGAATTGTTACAAGTTTCCTCGTGAAAAAGTATTTTTTAAGATGTTTGTAGATTGACTTCTAAAAACCGACATTTACAGAACAACCTTTTCCGATCCAAACTTTTCTCGCGTAGTTCAGTGACAGAGATTAGCACAAGATCTAAAGTAAAGTTTTAAAAAGTTCAAAACCATATCTCATCAAATGAAATAATATTATCGGATAAATTACTTGCCGCTGGTTTGTTATTTTAACATTCACAAGAAGAAAGCTCAGCAGAACTTCGGAACAACGAAAAATCAAACGACGCTAATAACACAATTTGACGCGCTTGCAGACGAAAACTGCCCTTTCAGCTCCAACCACTGTACACAGTAGGCGAAGTTCATATATTGTCCGACAGGGTTCAGTACTTGGCAGCCGAGAAACATGGTTGGGTCGATTTATCACACCTATATCACTTTTGGTGCTCCTCCACCAATCTTTCGCGTATCGTTTTACCGTTTTGTCGATGTTCCAAGTATATATCATATTATCCCCAGGTGTCATGTGTCTGAGTTAATATTTTTCACAAACATGCCGAGGACAAAAGCGCACGAAATTCATGATCTTCGAGATTGTGATTCCCCACGTCTCTAAAATACCCAATCTCGCGTCTCACTCTTGCTCGCAGTCCGTCTCCGATAACGGCTGAATTAAACATGTCGGCGTGCTCGCGTTCAAAGTAAAATGGCGGAGAAACTTTACCCGGAAGCTGTCCCTAGATCTTGCAGCAATGTTGTACAAACAGGACACCCGTCTGCACCGGCGTCTCTCTCTCTCTCTCACTCGTCTTTTGCGGTGGCTGCAACCGACAATGTCGCGGCGCCTCTGGTGGTAACAAGTTGCCGCGAGATAATTTAAAGTACCTCTAAGGTCACAACCAGTCGCTGAACTGGGGCGGCTTCCATTAAACCCTCGTTTACACGTGGACGGTGTATAAGTAGGTAGGTCGGAGGGGGATAAGGGCATACGGACTAAAAGAGCAGCCTGGAGAGATATTAAAAGGCATCCCCGCGCGCGCTTCCTGATCTCATTTGCATAAGTGCTGTTGTCTAACGCGGCGGCAACAACGCCGGTAATGCGCGCCCGAATCGCCACCCCGTTTGCCGTTCGTTTACTCTAGTCTGAGAATACCGAACGTCTTTTCTTTCGGTCACATCTTCGTTATCACAAGAAGGCATCTCTTTCTCTTTTCACTCGTGGAGGTAAAGAAACGGTAATCTCGCGCGAGTCAAGTCGGCGGTTTGTCGATATTATATTTTATTTATATCTGAGAAAATACGATAAATTATGTACGAAGGTGTATGAATGAACTATTCATTCCAACCTCCCCATCACTGATATAAAATTTTGATAAGATGTGCCATTTACTTATTTAATCCTAGCGAAATAATTACTGTGCGCGCGTGTTACTTCTCGCAAGAATGTCTGGGTATATTACAATGGGAAAGTGGACGAAATTTACATCTTCTAAAGAAATCGCGACGGGAGATATCAAATTAAGTCGGGAAACGGTCAAAGGTCAGGCAAGATACTGCAAGTTTATAACAATACATAGTATATTCTTATGAATTTTAATATCACAATAATTTACGTTGCGTTTCTTCGTCGCGTCCGCAGTTATCGGATGTTATATTTTACGAGAGTATTATTTTTATCGTTGTACCACGACCGGGTAGTAGATAGAATTTTTAAGCGCTCTACCGGGAATCACAAGACGAGAGGTCGAAGTAAGTGGAGACCGGCGAAAGGTCAGATGTTTTGCGCGCCTGTGCGCTTATGCATACCGCGAAGGTTTGCGCAGGCATTCGCCTATCCACCGGGCGTGAAAGCGGACTACGGCGCGGATGATGTCACGTACGAATTATTAGTAAAGTTTCCTATACTGTTCCTGGTACAGTGCGTGTCGTCGCGCGGAGTATTCTGCGAGACACGCGAGCGCGATTGTCGTGTAAATAAAACGCCGCCACGTGTCGCGACATTATGCCTATCGTATCATACTCGACTCGTATTGCAATCATCTTTAAGCAAAGTGGAGTAAATATATGTGTAAACGGTAAAAAATAAAAGAAAGACATGAATTTCGTCAAAATTGTTCCGGCTCTGTGCGCAGAGTGCACACATAGAAAAATACACTTTGCGCGCTAGTAAGTGTGTTACTTGTTGTCAAGTATTTCATAAATTTATATATCCGCAAATATATTGCAAGTTCATCATAAGCATCAGATTTACTCCAAATATATTCTGAATCATAGTGAGTTTATAGTACTTCAAATGTTAAATTAAAATCGGGTTCTTTATTTAAATTAACCGAATCTAGTCTTTCTTCGATAAAGTTTTATAATATTCTTGAAAAAAGAATAAATTCCACATTTTGAGTAAATGAGCTTTTCTAAAATTTGTGACGAATATATTTCAAGACTATTATCGAGAAAATATTCTTTATTGGAGGCAATACTGTTAAAAGAAGGAAAGTAAACTGAATAAACACTTTTCTTAACGATGATATTTGTTTATGTGCACAAAAGAAAAATATCAAAATTGCTAATTATCTCTGAAATTAAGTTGAATTTTTAATAAGAAGAAGAAAATTTTAACAAGTTGGAGTAAGTTAAGATAATGAATGGCTAATTTTTCTAAGCTAATAAGAAATAACGAGTCGATGTCCAGCTCGTTAGAAGCTGTTGCAGCTTGATATCGCTATAAATTTCAATCCGCCGTTGTTCCTAATGGAGTAACAGATCTGCCTCTATGATATGCATATCGGAAAAATATACATGTCCGTTTACTCCATCGACAATTCCTGCGCGCGGAAGCGACGGGATATCTTATGAACATCATACGCGACGATATTCCGATTCCGGTGCACTCGATTTCACCTTGTTCGAGTGTCACGTATATCATATAACGCGCGAACGTGCCGTCACGACGAAATTTCTCCCTCGTATTGCGTGCGTATGTCTTCGCGTGCGTATAATATATATATATATATATCTCGACTTTATATGAAGTGAATATATTTTCTTTTTATTTCATCTTGACGCGCTCAATTTCGCGCCAATAGTACGAGCAGGACAACGGCGTTCGCTGGTTTAACCCTTTGCACTCTGCTGTCGCCGTAGCGGCGACATGGTTGTTTTGCTGCCTCGGCACTTTAAGAAATTTTAAGTCCTAAAATTTATGTTTTTCTTTTATAATATAAGTTAGAATATGTTTTGTTATAAAATAGCTAAGAAATAAAAATTTTGTTTTATTGAAACGACTCTATTTTTCTTCTACATCATAGGTATGTACTTGGAACTAATAGCCTCTATGCATTACTAGGCTGGAGTGCAAAGGGTTAAACAAGCGTAATTCTCTCACGCGCTCGGAAATTTACGCGTGCGTCGCGTTTCGCGCGCGGTTCGTTACATACGCAAGAATTAGCGGAGCTACACGAAACGATCGTTTGCGCCCGTACCCATCGACCGTGTAACGCGAAATAACGGGCGCTGAAACGTTGAACCGCGGATTATGTAAATTACCGTAATGCATTTTTCCTGCAGAATTTGACGCTTTCCGGCGGCAGCTTATTACGAAATGCCGCCGCATGACCCTGCAAACTTGCTTCTTTCTCTCTCTCTCTCTCTCTCTCTCGGTGCTTTCATCTCTCATGCCCGTAACAAAGAGAAAAACAAAGCAGCCAGAGCTAGAAAAAGAGAGAGGAAGTTAGTACGCAAAATGCATATGATATAATGTATAATGCACGTTGTAAGAAATAATATTTTTAAAAGTTCGTTTTACGCTCTCTCTCTACACATACACACACACACACACACATGCGTATATAATTTTTTGGCTTCAACAAATATACTCTCCAATATTTCCGATCAATTTGCACGAGCAAAAATAAACACCAGATATTGGAAAATACCAACACCGCAAAAAAAAACATTTATCGCTTTTATTTTTTTATTTATCGTTAACACTTCCACCAACATTGCTATTACTTTTATCATCAATATTTCTTCGGTGGTGTTTTATTGGAATTATTATTTTTTTCTATATCAGGCAATATCTCTGTATTTATTGTCAATAACGAGAGGTCGTCTGACGATTTTCCGACGGTTCCTATTTCAGAGTCTAAATGACCGATGTATCTGTCGTAGGTACAAATTTTGCGGCTCGCTGCCGAATCACCTGGACGATAAGGATGCGATGGAGGACGATCGCCGAGACAACAACAACATTATGCCCGATAATATCGGCGGGAATTTCGGCGGCACGTTGCCGCACAAGAAGCGATCGTTAGGGGTGCACTTCTCGGACAGCGGGCCGACCGGCACTCTGGACCTCGTTAAACATCGATCGCAGGATTCCTTGGACGAGAACGATCCTTGGAGGTACGTAAAGGCCGACGTAAAAACAATCCGCCGCGTTCGTTTCGCGAGAAGGATGGGCGGGGGAGGGGGGGAAGAAGAGAGGAAACGCGCCCCGCGTATAGGGCCCGTTAATTATCCGTAATAAATTCCCGGAATTTATCGCCGCTCGCACTTACACGCGATCCCGACATTTCATCGCGGAACTGTCGAGGCGCGGCACGGAGACCCGGCAATTTCGAGAATTCCGGGAACGTCCCCTCGGACTTCGACCTCTGTCTCGATCGATCGAACCTCCCGTCGAAGTTTCCCATTTCGAACCCATCGTCCTTCCTGCCGTTCCTCGCGCTGAGTCCCGGAAAATCGTTCTCCCGTGTCGTTTAACGACCCTCCCTTCCGGGCCGATCTCTCCCCGGCGGAGGGTTAAAACACGAGCCGTGCTTTCCAGGTACCAGCAGAGCGATCTCGACCTGGTGCGATGCCGTCACGGTAACTTCGACTCGGTGAAGAGGAACCGAAGCGCCGACACGGTGCTCGGCGACTCCGGCAGGAGATACGGCCGCGGCGTGGAGGACAGGTGCCACCGGAACGCGGACCTCGACCTGGTCGGCACGCTGCCCAAGCGCAAGCAGGACACCAGGAATAGCGGCAGGAGCCTCGGCTCGAATTCCTCGTCCTCGCAACCGTGCATCGTGATGAACACCGCCAACGACGGCAGCGGCGGAGCCGGCGATGACGACGACGACCTGCTGATGAAGATGCTGCACAAGCCCGACTGCGAGCTGCTCAAGCATCGCCAACAGTTCGGCAAGTGCGTCGACTTGAAGCTGAGTAAGCTGGCGAGCGGCGGAGAGCCGCAGGACCAGGGTTACGCATCGGAGCGCTCGCCTGAAGACGAGCATCCACCTTCGTTGCCGGGACAACCGTTTCCAAGCGTAACGCCAGGTAAGCGGTAACTATATTTTCATACTCGCTTTTTTTTTTTTTACTTTCCTCGCGTATTCTTCGGTAGCGTCCTCAGGTAGCTTTCCCCCGTATATATTTTTCCTCCATATTTCTCCTCCGTATTTTTCAATATACGTGTAAGGGAAACATTCTCAAACGGGATAGCAATCTTTAGAGTATTTTCACGATCAGGAAATATTTTTCATATTTTAATTAATCCTCGTAATCGATGCGATATAGAAGACCGTACAGGCTGAAAGATCCACGATAAAAGACACGTTCTTCTTTGTTTCCCTTTTACGCGAGTTTAATTTGCACGTAATATTACCCAAATAGCACGGTGTATTCTTGAAGTATTCCCAAAGTTTTCTCCTTTACATGACAACGAACGAGCCAAGCGCGTTTCGCTCAAAGGAAACAGAATTTCCGGTTCTCAGGACCAAATTTAACTTATAAGGATAAAAAATTCGGCTTCCCTCAAGCAAAACGTGTTCGCAACTCGATCTCTTTTTTCTTTCCGTGCGAAATTCGAGATTCGCAAATATTTCCTTGACTTTAAATCCGAATCACTTCCCCGCATCTTGTAAGATTGAGACAAAGATGTATCTTCCGAGAGAGAAACGCCAATTAACGCCTCTGCTTAATCCGCAATTAATATCCGCCTGCGCGCGTAATCAATTTATTGTTGCGAGCAATATTCGCGTAAGGCGAAAACTCGAGGCGCCGATCGCGTGAGACCTTCGCGGAAAAACGCCAGGAAAGCTCGAAGGGAGGGGGAAAGGGGGAGGGAAGGAACGCGCGAGCACGGACGTTATGTCCGTTGACAGTAACAGGATTTCGGAAGATATATCGGAGTATGGATTATGCACGTATAAAACTTCCCCGTGGCTGACAACGCTTGCGCAAATCTTATTTTGTCGGGGGCGGACAGCACCTGTATTCCCACGCCCGTGTGAGATCTATCATCTCGACCTTGATATGTCTCTCTCTCTCTCTCTCTCTCTCTCTCCTCCCGACGAACTTTCCGAAGGCTGAAATTCCCGTTTTTTTCCTCCGTGACGACTACACGGCTGAGCAACCTTGTTACATGCGGTAACGAGCAGCTGATAAAGACGAATGGCTCGGCGATGATGGGTGAACGAAGATCGTGCTGGGATCTTTCTTTTTTTCTTGCAAATGATCGACCAGCGAAGGGCACGAGATATTTTTCCGCACTCCTCTCCCTTGCTCTCCTCCTCTGTGTTCAGAAGCTGCGCTCATTAATTTATTCCTCCGTGCGTCTCAATCATAATCGCGAAATAACGCGAGTATATTATAACGATTAAAATCTCTTACCCGCCGGGCTCGCCCGTGATTACACGCTCCACGCGTGGAATTTGCAGAAATAGGCGGCTCGTTACGCGGATATCCGTCTTAACATTTTCATCCCGTCGGGGCGTTAATTTCGGTCCGGTTTCGCGTAACAGAACGACGATATCAAGCGTCATTGGAAAAGAAGCGGCGCACTGCTGATTGAACTGCGCTGTGACGCGCAACGCCATTTTTCACGTGCGTTTTCACGACGCTTAATGACACAGCGGGAAACGTTGCGTAATTTAAAATACCCTAACGATCCGGCTTGTTCTGGAATACGCCATGTCTCACGGGAGAAAGGTGCGCGTTGTTGATACGCGGATCAATCAATCGGCCCCCTCATAAATTTCCATTCGTCGCGCCGACTACCGTGGAGGTTAATAATTTTCCCTCGTTAACGTTCATAACAGAGCCGCGCGGACCGGCTGTAATCATCCGCGTCTCGAGCCGGCGAGGAATTCTGTTATTACAACTCATCCATAATGCAGTCGCGATTTTTGCGAGATACGCCGCCGTCGCTCGTGTTCGACGGCCGTGTCGGTCAAAATTACTCGCGCCGGTCTCAAGGTGGAAAACCCGTTAGATCCAAGGCGGATCTACATAATGCACACACGATATCCCGCGCCGAAATTTGGCCGCTGCTTGGACACCTTTAAGAGATACATTCCGTTAGAATATTCCGTTGTGTCGAGAATACATGACAGTGAATGAATTGTGCGCGAATTTTCGTCGAAAGGAACTGAATTTCCGGCTTCTGTGAACCAAAATTCAGTTTTTAGGGTGAAATTTCGAGAAAATTCCGGTTCCTTCGAACAAAACGCGTTTGGTTAGTTTATCGTCACGTTTTAATTCAACCGATCCTTCTCGTTCGTGCGGGATACGTTGAAAAACGTCCGAGTCCGACTGTTTCGAAACATAGTTCGCTTTCTCCGCGGTAAACTCCGAAATGGATAATGCATGATTTACCTTCTGCGCCAGCGATTTCGGAGCGATTTGATCGATTGCCGGTTGCGAATGCGTAGTCGTCGTCGTCGTTCGCACTTCTCGCGAACGCGCGCCTACACCGCGGCGCGTGAAATCTACATATTTTCAATTTCAATCTCATGCATTCGGAAGGAGCTGTTCATCGCGCAGCGCCGACGACTCCGCGGGATTATTTTTACGCGTTACTTTCCGCGTCGTTGTTGTAAATTAAGAAGCTACTCCGAGCTGCTATTAAAATGTAAATTTTACTTAGTACTGAGAAAAATGTAACGCCTCTGGAATCGTAATCGATATTCCCGATAATTCTCAGAGTCGACTATATTTTCGTTCGACTATATTTGCATTAACGTGTAACATCATCAATTAATTGATCAATTGATATTTTCTTATCTTATCGTACTAGCCACGGGAGCGGTTTAATTGTCAAAATTAGTGACATAAATGAGTCTCATTCTTTTAAAAAATAAGAAAATAGTGAATGAACTTTAAAAAAAAATCAATTGAAATCGAGTATTTTCTAAATAATGTTTACGTCAAAAATTAAATCCTTTATTTGTTATATCATTTCTTTAAGAAATTAAAAACACTGATTTTAGTGTGAAAGTCAATGAAGAGGAAAATTTAAATTTTAGGAAAGAAAAAAAATTACATCACATATAGAACCTAAAGTTTACTTTTAACTCATCTTTTGTTTTGTCTTCAAAGCAGCTAAGCTGACCGATATTTCTTCAAGGGCTCAAGTCCCAATAAAAAGAGGTGAGAAAAGTTGGTTTCTTTTTCTTTAAAATGAAAAAAGTGAGGATAAATGAGTCGCCTCCATGGCCGATGTAATGTGACGCTTTGCATTCGGTATGGGACGCGTGCTTCCCAATTATCTCCTCCGCGCGTCAATATTTTACTCGGGACGGGTTACCTGGAAAAAAGGGACGAACAAATCAATTTTCGTTCCGCGCGAAAATAACGCCGAAAACAGCGCCGGGAGGATTAAATCGAATGGCCCACGCCGTTAATCCTAGTTACCCGCGTGACAAAAACATTCAATTCATCCGTTGAATGCGCGTTCCCCCCGGTGACACGACCGGGAGGCTCGTCCTTAGCACGTTAATGGCGCGATTTAACAACACACCGTTGTTCGGCGCTTGACGGCCGAGCGTAGTTATCACCCTCGCGGCACCTGCCCAGCGGTTCTCAGGGGGGGTGGCGAGACACCAAGTGACACGTGTGACGGGGGAAACACTTCTCAGCCTCTGAAATCCCCCGTGCGCCTCGAAATCGTAATTCGGGCGAGCGAGTGCAGTCTCGCGCGGCCTTGCCCGAAACTTTCCGCGATTTCCAGCGGGCGGTGCTATTTCGCCCCGAGGAAGCAGAGCTCTTTCACCGATAATTCCGCGATCGCTCGAGGATCGTATCCGGCGAAAACGCTTTAACGGCTACGCCGTTACACCTAGGCGAATTCGAGAGAGCGCGCCCATAGTAGTGTCACGGGACGCAAGTTGATGGCGTGCGAGAGAGAGAGAGAGAGAGAGAGACGGAATGGCCGGGTGTTCTCTCTTGCGCGCACGTTCCAGGTATATACAGAATGGCGCGACGATACAACCTAGTTTGAGAGACCCTGACCCAGAATATACGGGCGCCCTTTGCGAACAACCGCGGCCGCCGCGTTTGCTTTGTGCGGACTGGTATTTGCGGGATCCGGGGGCGATCCTGCGAAATTACGAGGCTGTAATATATCGTCCGGCCGCCGCGTGCGAGCGTGAAAAATCAATAGGCGATAATTAAAAGCGCGGACGTGGCGTTTTCAAGCGCCGAAGTATACCGTGGTGGCCGGGCTTACTCTCTATTAACCCAAATTATCAAATCCCCGACATCATCGGCGATAGGTTAACTTATTCTTCCCCGCTTCCCCCCTCCCCCCTAACGGTCGAAGCACGACGTTTAATTACGTGTTCTTATCTTCCGGGCGAACTGTGCGTAATGAGAAGCAAACGCTTCTCGTCTGAAGCACCATTTATCTTTCATTGCGTGTGTCGCGCGACGCTTGGGAATATTTGAGTCGGTGCGACACTCCGACACTTCACCGCGTTAATCAATTAGTCAGGTGCGAGCGAAGGCGAATTCGCGAAATGAATAAACGACGGACGACCGGCGACCCCTCGTTATGCGGAAATACTTGGAGCATCTTGTCTCTCCCAAAGTTCAGAGGAGTCACCGAGAGAGAGTACGAACTTGCAAGATCAATAAACAGTCGTATCGAGCGGCACGATCTCCCTCTTCGTTATGCAATTTCCTTGTTCTCGGTGCAGTGTAGATTGTTTATACTTGACATTGTCGCGCCGCAGAACTGTGCGCCCGGGCGGGAAATATTCCGTTCACGTAGCCGAGGGACTTGATTCGGGATTCTCTTCCGGATGCAAACGCGGGTGTCTATGACAGAGAACGTCGACTGAACTTGAGACGAACGAGACTCGGAACTTCGTGGCGCCACTCGCGCGCGCACAGTTACTCAAATCAATTGGAATCCACGGTGCACTGAGACACCCATTTAGTTGAATCAACGAAATTCTTCGTTTGACTATAGGCAAACAAATTTTTTGGTTATAAGAACTAGGGTTTAGTTATCTGAACTAAAGGTTTGGTTCTTTGAAACTTCTGAAAGTTCAAAG